AGGTGAAGAGGAAACCACTGGACGTTCCAGGGGCCGCGGCAGGGTGGTGGTAGAGAGGCTGTCTGAGGCGTTGATAAGCGCTGGTGAGACAAATGAGATCGCCAATGAGAGACGAAGGAATGACGTGAGACTGTAATATGTCAAATGGTTAAGAGGAAAACCAGCTGTGCCAGAAACCAATGCCTGAGGTAGAGGAGAGGAAGACTGACGAACGCAATGTTTATTTTTGTTGTCATGATATTGTCATGATACGACAGGGACTGGAAGCAAGGTAAACGGTCAAAGGCGAGGACCTTGAAACCATTGTCAAGGTGGAATCACTAAGACCGCAATCACCTAAGTAGCTTCATGTGCCAACCTGACTTCGCAAACAAGCTGAACCCATAAGACGTAAAACACGTTGTAAGCCTATGGCGGCACTGATTCGCTATGACGCATGGCGCTTGGCCCCTTACAACCGTGTTGTGACGCACACACCACACAACACAACACAATTGTGGTCTGGCTCGGCGTGAGCTACATCATCCCATCCGCAAAGTAAACAAAGGCAGAAACACAAAAGAGGGATAGTCATACATAACCCAAAATTGTAGATAACTGATAGCCATCTCTAGATGGCCTTCGTTGATTTTTGAAGGATGCATTCCAAAAGGCAATGTGAACACCTAATAACATTATAATCTCAGTTCTCACGTTAGAATATCATAGTCCGAGAAATCCATTGAGTCACGATACTTTGTATGTGGGCGAGGCCATGGATGACATGATTATTATTAATATAACGAGGCTTGAAATGATCTCACGCATGTCAAAGTGTTTTTATTTTAGGCAAAATAAATATCTAAAACAGTAAAACAAGCTTCCGGCATTAAGCCATCACCAAGTTTTGATGATGTAATGTAAACTTGATGATGGCGTAATGCCGAAAGCTTGTTTTACTGTTTTAGATATTTATTTCTTATTAGATATAGGTGTCCAGAAAAAAACGGATACTATTATTTTTTGCTGTATTTCCGAAAATAAACACCTTACATTTTAAAATGACACATGTTTGTATTCGCAAAAATATGGCAAAACAGACAGCAGGTGCCACATGGCACGTAAACTCTTTGGTTAGTAGCGGCAGCTCCTCAAAGCAGATACTCAATGTGAGTGGCCTTACGGCGGATCAGCTCCAGCACTAGCACGGTCTGCAGGTGACTGATGGTCATGTTCACCATCTCGGCGGGCATGCAGACAACTTTCCAACGACACATTGCAGTGCTCATGAGTTTTGCCAAATCTTGCACTATAAGCACATGAAGTTGGAGCAAAATCGGCACGTGCGTTATTGAATGCGACTAAATTTCCTTAGTATCTTTTTTTTCTGGACACCCTGCGGACCGACCTTCGCGGACCGACCAAAGCATGCTTTCATCCTGATGAATGCGGAAAATGAGAGGAGATAGTATTACGTTGCGATTAATTCACAAGAAAAAAAAGAAGAGTAGATGCAGAAACATCAGAACAGTGCTAGTTCTCTCTGGGTAGATCTCATCAGCGTTGCAAAAGGCAGCACTTCCACTAGCGAATCAAATATTGTCCAGCGAGCTATGCATAAAGTTATAATCGTTTCAGTGGGCCAATACAATGAAACATTGTTTGTTTACGTAATGTACTCATTTAATCGATGGCATTGTTTAATTAACCCAATTATGGACGCATTACCTGTTGATTACAGAAGCAATTCACTTTTTAAACTTATTCATAATGAGCCAATCGCTTTAACCCTCGCCGGCACAGGCCATTTTGCGTCCTTCGACGGCACAAAGGGGGTTGGTACGACCCCCCCCCTCGCGTTTGGCCCCTGATCGAGCTAGAGCTTCGCGGAAAAAACGAGCGTGTTGCCCGTCACGAGAGGAAGCCGATGATACCCAATTTTAAGGTCCTAGGTCATCGGGTGACCTTCCAGGTCAGGTCAATGACCCGAAAGCCGGGCAAATCGGGACCTGTTAGAAAGTCGTAAAGTGTGGCTGCTATGTGGTTTTCCGGGGTGCTGATCACGAATATCGTGTTAGTTTTGATCAGAGATGATGTTTTTAAGCATTTAGACCAGGTCGGGTCAGGTCAGGTCAGGTCAACCGGTAGGGGTTGTGACGGGTATTCGTAATACGTGTCAACCGCCTCTGGCAGCTTCGTAACATGTTACGAAGGCACCAAAACTACTTCGTAAATGTTCATATGGTTGCTAAATTCGAATTCAGCTCCATAAACTTGCCTAGAAACATGTAAAACTCGAAAAAGTGAACCGAGGTCATCAAAGGTCAATGACCTGACCTGACCTTCAGGTGACCTTGACACCCACCCTAATGCATGGGGGCAACATCATATCACATGTTTAAACGCTTGAAACCACGAAAAGACTGCAAAGGCGCGGCTAATGGAGCCGACATACGCCGAATCGCGATTCCAGCCAAACATGGTCACGGAAAAGAGGTCACAGGTCAAAGGTCATTGGGGTCAGGGTCATAAAATTTTCAGGGAACGTGTAAAATTGATCAATGCGAGGGTACTGAAAGTTTCGTCGCGATCGGCCGTTTTTTACGCGAGTTATTCGCGAAAAAACCTTAGGGGGGTTGCATCAACCCCCCCCCCTGTGCCGGCGAGGGTTAATAATCGAGCAAACTCAGCCCAAACAGCAGACCTCTGAACATATAGCGAGCTTCCCAGCATGACTGAATATTCAATAATAGGAAAAATAACGGGTACAATGAGACCACCTTGAATAAAAAAGCGTAATTGGTTGTTTTTACAACACACATTGAAACAAAAACGTTCAAGTACGACGCAAAATTTAAGTCAAATCAGGGACAGTACCATAATTATCGTAAAGCAGGACTAAATGAAAAAGCATGTAAGTCTGTCCTTGTGCATAGTGAAAGGGACAAGTCGAAAGAAGAAAGGCTGTAAATATTTCGTACGGCCGCTGCCATGTCTGAAGGCTTTCACATAGAGTTGAAGGCTTACCATAACAATTTCGCCACTTGATAATTCTCATTTCGGCTTGGAAGCAAAGCATGCATCACTCTAAAATGAGCAAGCTACCAAATAAAGCAGCACTAATTCAAGGAAAGGGAAACAGTGAAATTAGCGGTGGAAACGAAGTAACAATGAAATAATTACTGCTTAAGTGCCTAAAGGCCTGGCTAGTGGCTACACTCTGCGTTTTCTGCGTTTTGCGGGTTTGCGTTTTTTGCCTAATATCGTTCTAGGAAAAAAGTAAAAAAAAACATAATTTTTACATTATTTATATGCAGAAATTAATAAAACCTATATTAACTACAATTGAATATAAAAAACATCACAAATACGTAATATCGTTTTTTTTTAGAACGATATTACGCAAAACCCGCAACCACGCAAAAAACGCACGCAGAAAACGCATAGTGTAGCCAGTAGTGGTGTCAATTTCAGAAAACGTATGTCCAATGTCCGTCCAATGTTCAATACTTACGTCGACTGTCCGTCCAAAAATGTCCGAGCCAGCCATTTGTCCAAAGATGTCCGACACCTACGCAATGCTTTACACTCAACACTGTTATCTAATTTGCTTTTAATGAAGCGTCACCAGCTCGGAAATGTTAATCATATCGAATGCTGAGCTTTCTCATATAGCCAATCAATGTTAAACACGATTACTTTATAAAAATGTCGAGGTGTAGCAGGCGAATGTCCAATGTTGTCCAAAGCCTGCTGTCATTGTCCAACCGAATTCCGAATCGGACATTGGACAAGATCGGAATTCCGAAGATTCAAGTTCCGATTGACACCACTAGTAGCCAGGCCTTTATGCCACGATTAGCTTGCAATACACAGGCAGGTGAACTAACCAAATAAATAACCTAAAATAACCTGTTGAAGGACATAATGAGCCCAAGACCAACTAGGTAAGAGAACGGCTGAATGTGAAAGCGACGCATTATCACAACCTTTCAGCGATATCACTTGCGCGCTATCAGTTTAAGAAACGATAGCACACATATCCAAATTAGCCTCATCTGAATTTCCTGACATTTCCGGAGCTCATGGGCACTACCTCTCAGATTGCCTTCTCCTAAGTGTGTTAGCAAAGGCTGAAAGCTATCGCAGCACTTACCGTTCGTACTTCGTAGTGATCACAAGCATAGCGCAACCAAAAATAACTAAGGAACTCGTATATGACGAAACGAATATCATCCAGTCTCAATGTAAAATATTCGGAAACATCTAACTGCAATGTAAAAGGTGTGAGAATGCAGCATTTCAACTATGTAGAAACAGATGCTAGAGCCAAAGGCAATGAAATACAGAAAAAAAGGAGAATGAGCGAATGGAGCGAAGATGAATGAGATTTAAGTCAAACGCTCCATAACGGTGAATAGTAGTTAGCGAAAAGCATGACAAGGTGATGACAGATTCTTAGCCGAGCAGGAAACAAAACGCATGGTGTTACTACCGCTTCGGCAATGTGGGGAACAGGAAGGTTTGTTCAACGCCTCAAGAACAGAGCCGTTCATCTCTGAGACGTTTCCATAACCTCCCAACCCATTAGTAGCAGTGCAGGGACCGACAAATGAAGCGTAGGCACTCAGTAGTAACCAAGTGGGGGCTGGATAACAAAACTTCTGTGACAAAAGAAGAAAATTATGAGGAAAAACAAATAGCACCACCTCAAAGGCCAAAGTCACCACAACCAGGAAAGGTTCTCGATGAATGAGAGAATTCTTCTCTGCCAATCTGTCGGTCGTTGGACCGTTCTGAGTCCGCTACCGACGCTGCAGCGGATGAGAGTTCGGTGGGGCTATGAGTGACACAGCACACCTTCAGGGCATAGTGACGATGTGACCTAAGATAACCAGTGTCACAGACACAGCCCGGGGCTACCAGTCGACGAGTAGGGGCCGCGGCAGCAGGCTTCGTGTCTGCCAACAGGAAAAGATGGCCGGCCGGGCGGCCAGGTCCGGCAGTCCGAGGCCATAAAAGAGGTCGGCCGGCCGGCTGTCGGCCGTTCCTACGATGGTGGCTGAGTGACCAACACCACCAGGAGGACAGGACGCGCACGTGCAGCACCAGGAGGACACCCCGGACATCTGTGGAGAGGACGCGATTCGTCCTCCGAGGAGACGGTCCGCAGCACCGTCCGCCAGCATGGCCAGAACATGGGTGAGTGAAGCGATCGGGAACGACCGCCGCGCGGTGGCAGAATGTTAGAATGTGTGTCACAACAGAAGGAACGAGAGTGAGAACAAAGTCTGAAGTGGCCGGCATTTTAAAAGCTGTGTGAATGAGTCGAGCAGACCATTGATGTATGAGTGCAAGCGACGAGCAATGATCAATTCATAGCAACTGGATTACGTGTGGCATATCGATATCAAACGGCAGAATGCCGGGGTCGGTGGTTCGAGATTTTGTGTCTCGGAAAGCAGGTCAATTTTCTTTTGCTTAAAATTTAATGGCACTGACAAAGCACAAACGACAAATAAGTGCAACTTATTACATCCTATCGTATTCAGAAGTGTGTGACAGTTATTTCAACACTATTTTCTTTCCATTGAGAAGCTAGCGATCCCCTAGGCATCAGAAAATGTTCAAAGTTGTGACGACTGTCGTGTCTGAAGGCCTCCGCTTGCTACACTATGCACCTCGCTGCATGAACAAATTTATACTGATTTGACGTGACGCTGCTTGTCACCTTCTGAAGGGCTCCTAGTCCCTGCCGATCCAAGTAGAAGCTTGCAAAACCCGTAGAAGACCCTCAGAGGGCGATGGGCAGCCTCGCAGCGAGTTAAGGAGAACGTTCTGCTTGCATCCAGACTCGCAATCAAACGAGCCGAGGCCTTCATGAACAAAAGCCGCCGTAACTTCGTGCATCGCCTAGCGAAGCGTCTTTTTCTCAGTGACGAAGAAAGTGTGCATAATCAAAGTCTCGCTGTGCTGCTACCGATTACCTATGATTAGATGCTCTTGGTTGTCATTTGTCCTGCTTCAAATCCGCTTGTTTTTTAGCAAAAAAAATACATTCACTTGAAAACCCGTAAAACGCCTTGCGTAAAACCATTTAACAGTGTAACAGCATCCAACATAACCCCAATAAGTACTTTGAAACTGCTAATCACTCTTCTCAGAAGCTAGTGTTATGTTGTCTTATACCGATGTCATAAAACATAGAAATTAAAGAAATGGTTTTAAGCTTAGGAAGAAGGCAAAACTGCATGCGTAATGATGAAAACCACATTTATTTCACGCATCGAGTAAATGCTGTCACTGCTTGCTGGCCTCTTACATAAGAAGCATAGATCAAGATGCAAAATTAAGTCCACCTTCCTAATGAAATCATTTCTTTCGAAATAACTTTCACTGCCTTCCACGAATTCCCGGACAAAACAGAATGCAGCCTTCACTGGAGCTGCACTGTCGATCGGCAGCACGCGAGCACCATGCCATTGAGTCACGATAGGCGCCAGGACACGTCACATACCCATATTGCGACCTACGGCTTTGACGCGCAGACAAGTGCGACAGTTCTGCGCATCGAGCAATGATTCAGCACATATTAATGTACGTGAATTCCTGTTATAAAACGCATAAGTATGATCAATCTGTCAGAATTGTTGTGCGTTCCGCACGCGCTGGCATTCAAAGGATTTAATGCGCCATAAAGCCAGGCTCATGTCGTTTTTTGTCCCAGTCGTACAACAGCCAAATGCATCGGTATTCATAAATTAACATTCAACACGCTGAGCCTACGTATCTACGGTAAATACAATTTTTATAATCATTAGTTGTAATTTAAGGACAGATGGCTCATGAAACGTCCATGCAAAGACACTTTTCGTAGATATTGATAACACACACAAGTGATCCAAAAATGTGTTTTTAGCTTGCAAGTAGCATTGTTTTTTTTTTTAGGCCTCCCTCCAACAGGCACTTGTGGCCCAATTACAGGAGGGCACCTCCTCCTCCTGGTCCTTGTTCCCACACCCCCCAGGCTACGGCTGAAGTGGGAGCCTACCCCACACCTGGTGACACAGCCGGGGACGACGCCCATTGCTTATTATAACAAGCAAAAACTCCTCTAACATGTACAACCGGCAGTTAAATTCGGAAATCACACAAAGCACAATGTTTGTGCTCAAATAAAGCATTCAAGTATGGTGTTGGCACCAAAATGAAGGTATTTTTCTTTGAATTCATTTGAACCTTACATTCAAAGATAATAAATAATTTTTTTGTGAGCAAAAGCCAAAATGTGCAGCTTTAGGCATGGTTAAAATAAAGCGATATTTCGCTTTTAACAATTACAATTTTGCATCAATAACGGTGATCCGAAAACACGGCTGAATTTGTTGCAAATATTGTAAATGGTCAATAACTAATATGTTTGGTACATTTTATCAGCTTATTGAAGGCTAAAGCATGTGAATGCACAAATGCTTACGCCGACAAAAATCGTCAATGTTATCACACTCATCTAATAACACATTAATCCGCATCAGCACATTCGCGTTGATCGCAATCTTCCTTGCATGCACACCTCAATCAAACATCCTTGAATAACATCGATAGTACGAAAAAGGTAATGTTGAAAGTGTAACAAGGTATAGGAATTCGGCGGCCAATGATTTTCCAGCCGTTAATGCAGCACCCGGATAGATTGAGGATAAAGGAGCTGGTAACGCCAGTCCCTATTCGTTTCCACGTGCTAAGGTTCAGGGACAACCCAGCGCCCACCGTCGCGCCTTCAAAGCGTTTTTTATCCGGCAATCCAGTAACGGACTCGCGCCATAAACGGAGCACCGACACTACACAATAAGCGACACATTTTTAGCTCGCCGAAGCAGTCCTCTATCTTTTCGACGAGCAATCGCACGGAAATCAATACAGTGCCGGGGCACAAAATCCGGTTGTGGCACGAACGATGGCACAAGTTGTCATACCCAGGCTCGTTTTCCAGTTGACTCCTCTATTGTCCTTTGCTAGCTTCTAACCATTGTTCGGACGAATGAACAGCGAATGGCAAACTGGCAGAGTGTGTCAATGATGACTATGCTGCGGTTGAATGTATAGTGATGCGCTGGTGATTGGTCTGACCGCCACCCTCCCGTTTCAGGCCTGCATCGCGGTGCTCCTGTGCGTCGCAGCGGCACGGGTTGCCGCGCAATGCAACTGCAAGACGGTACCGCAGTGCCCGCAAGTTTTTAGCGGCGGCAAGGTGACGCCCTGCATCATGCCCAACAACAAGGGCATCGGACTCTGCTGTCCAGCCTCCAAGTCGCCGGCGCCGGCGCCCACGACTCCCGCGACCACGCCCGCGCCTACTCCGGCTCCTACACCAGCTTCTACACCTGCACCAACACCGGCTCCGACGCCGGCCCCGCCGCCGTCACCGCCACCAGCCGCGGCCGCTCCCAAACCTGCGGGGCCCGCGGCCCCGAAGCCGCCGGCCGGCTTTCCGTCGTTCCCCAAGTTCCCCGGCTTCCCGTTCTTCCCGCCGCCGGGTTTCCCGCCGGTGCCTCCCAAGGCGGCGGGCGCCGGTCAGCCGCCGCTGGCTGCCAGCCAGGTCTCCATCAGCCGAACGGCGAGTGAACCGGAGCCGGGTGTCAAGAGCAACCCCAACGTGCTCACCGCGCGCAGCATCCCGCACAACCTGAACAGCGGACCGCTGTCCATCGCCGGCGTCAAGCCCAGTCCCGAGCCGCCCGCGCCATCACCGTCGCCACCTGCACCGCAGCCACCAGTGCCAGCCGCCCAAGGCGCGACACCGGCCAAGCCTTCGCCCCTGGACTTCTTGAAGTTCTTGCAGATGAGAGGAATTAAGCCACCACCTGGACTTAACTTCGAAGCTCTGAAGCAAAGCGCCCCCGGAGCATCCAGCTCCGGCTCGGCACAGTCCAGCTCTCAGTCCCAGAGCCCTACAAAGCCCGAGCCGCCGCAGCCTTCCCCTGCAGCTCCGAGCCCACAGCCATCCCCGGAGCCTAGTGCACAGCCTGCGGAGCCCTCACCGGCGTCCCCGTCGGCTGGCGGCGCTGGAGGTCAGGGAGGTCAGGGAGGCTCAGGCTCTTCGTCTGCTGCAGAACCCGCTCCCGGACAGGAGCCCGGAGCACCGGCCGGCGGAGGCCCGAGCGGACCGCCCAAACTGCCCCCGGGTGCTTTCCCGCCTCCGAAGCCGGGCTTCCTTCCATTCGGACCCTTCAAGCAGTCTGGACTGCCTGTGCCCTTCCCAGGTTTCCCTCCCGGTCTTCCTCCCAGTTTCAAGGGACAGCCGCCTCCATTCGTACCTAAGTTGCCGTTCCCCTTCCCAAAACACCTCTTCCCACCGAAGCCCTCTGCCACTCCAGCGGCTGAGGCCAGTGCCTCACCAAAGCCCAGCGCAGCCCCTGGCCAGAGCCCTGATCCGTCTGCAGGGGGTCCGGCTGCCCCCGAGCCGACGCCTGCCGTCGACCCCACACCGAAGGCTCCAGGCGGTCCGCAGGCAGCGCAGGGAGGCCAGTCTGGCGGTGCCTCCGCACCACAGCCAGGAGGCCCTGGAAAGGTGCCGAGGCCGGTCTTCCCGCCACGTTTCCCGGGATTCCCTGGATTCCCAGGATTTCCGGGTTTCCCAGGCAGGAAACTCAGCACCGCTGGAGTTAAGGTGTCCCCTCTCGGTGGCATTATCAACCCGGGCGCTAATGAATTGGGAAAGCCTACCAGTGGAGCTGGCGCAGGACAGCCAGGCGGCCCCAGTGGAAGCAGCGGTGCAGGACAGCAGGGATCCCAGCCGGGCACGGGACCAGGAGCACAGTCCACCGCACAATCAGCCTCGCAGTCCACGCAGCAGCCCGGCGCACAGTCTGGACCCCAACAGGGACAACAGCCTGGATATCAGCCGGGACAGCAGCCGGGACAGCAACAAGGACAGCAGCCGGGGCAGCAACAAGGACAGCAGCAAGGACAACAGCTGGGACAGCAAGGACAACAGCTGGGACAGCAGGGACAGCAGGGACAGCAGCAAGGACAACAGCTGGGACAGCAGGGACAGCAGCAAGGACAACAGCTGGGACAACAAGGACAGCAGCAGGGACAGCAGCCAGGACAGCAACAGGGACAGCAACAAGGACAGCAGCAGGGACAGCAGTCCGGGCAACAGCCAGGATCTCCACCAGGATTCTCAGGACTTCCTGGAAGACCCACTGCTCCCGGACAGCCAGGAGCTGGAGGACCCGGTGCCGGACTTCCTCCTCCAGGTGCATTCAAGATTGGTGCCAACGCCCTGGGAAGAACTCCTCCCGCTGCACCATCGCCGGACGTCCCAGCGGCCTCAATCATCGCAAGTCAGCCAGGCGCTCCTCCGGGTGGCTTCAAAATCAATGCCAACGCCCTGGGAAGAGTTCCCGCTCCCGAGCCATCCTCCAGCCCTGCAGCTGTGCCAATCACAGGATCTCCTAGCCGTCCTCCTACTCCTGCATCTCCTAGCGGTTTCCAGTTCGGAGGAAGTGCTGTAGGAAGGCCCTCCCCCACCGCTAGCAGAAACATCCCTGGCCAGTTTGTCCAGCCGACCACGGCCGCTGCCCGCCCTGGCGTTTGTGTGCCACTCGTCCTCTGTCCACCGCTTGTGGCCAAGCAGGACATGCTCTACTCCAACTGGTGTCGTCTTCGTGACGGCTCGCTCGGATTCTCGTGCTCGTTCGAGGGCACCAAGCTGCCAAGCGTGTCAACTGGCCTGTCTTCACGGTCCACAGTCGGCACTGGTCCAGGATCACCACTGGCGAACATGAGGCCTATGAACATCTATACCACTGGCTCCCGTGACTTCCGTAAGGCAACCGAGGAAGCGAACCAATACTTGAACGACGCCAGTCTTGCAGCCGAGGAATTCGTTAACCAGCAACAGATCACCGCAAACAACCTGAGGTCAACAGGTCAAGCACCGGCTGTTAACAGCCCAGCAAACCTGTACGCCTGGAACACACAGTGTAGTGTCGACGCCGCGGAAGTTGGACTATGGGCACTGCACTCTCTGAGCACCGTGCAGAACCTTGAGATCCTGGCTCCAGGCACCGTGCAAAAGATCAAGAGCACAGGACCGGATGGCCCTGCTAATGCCGCCGAAGCTGCCGTCGCCGCCCTGTATGCTGGAACATCTCCAGAACCGACGCCTGACCAGCTACCGCTGATCGTGCCAGACTGTGAACCCGCCCAGGAGATCTTCTGCGAGCCGAGCAACTACCGCATGATCAACGGTCAGTGCAACAATCTCAAGAAACCTCATCTTGGCAGCGCCATGATCGGCCACAAGCGTCTCATGAGCGATACCTTCGACGACGGCATCTTCGCGCTGCGCACCAAGACGATCCGTGGCGGAGAGTTGCCGAGCGCTCGGATCGTCAGCGAACGTGTCCTAGACACACTGAGCAACGAGCTGCGCGACTGGACGCTGTCGCTGATGCAGTTCGGTCAATTCGTCGCCAATGACCTGACCAAGACGCACGTCTTCCGGCTCACTGAGACCGAGGGCCTTGAGTGCTGTCTGAACAACGGTTTCGTTTTCCCCGCGCCGGCCCGGCACCCGCAGTGCATTCCGATTCCGATCAAGATCACGGATCCGTTCTACGGCCAGTTCGGTCAGCGGTGCATGACCATGACACGCTCTCTGCCAGCTCCGGAGCCAGATTGCGTTGCCCGTCCCGCGAAGCCACTGAACGAGTACACCTCCTTCCTCGACGCATCACAGATCTACGGCAGTGACCCGAAGGTCACCGAAGAGCTGCGTCTGTTCCGCGAAGGTCTCATGATCACCAGCGAGGTCGGTGACCTGATGCCGATGACTGGACCGCCTGGCCCCGAGATGCCGTGCCGCGCTGGAGTCTGCTTCCTGGCTGGTGATTCGCGTGTCAACCAGCACAGCGGTCTGGCTGTCATCCACACCATCTGGCTGCGCGAACATAACAGGATTGCGCGCTCGCTCATCAAGCGCCACCCGGACTGGAATGACGACCAGCTGTTCGAGGAGACACGTCGCATTGTGATTGCCGAGTGGCAGCACATCGTGTACAACGAATACCTGCCGGCTATCCTCGGCTTCGACTATGCCGACGCACACGGCCTCCTGCCTTTCCAGAAGGGCTTCTCCAACTACTACGACGAAAAGATTGACCCGACCACTTCCGTGGCGTTCGAGTCTGCCGCCATGCGCTTCGGCCACAGCATGGTCCGCGACATGTACGACTTGCTGGACGCCAACGGTCAGGTGTTCCGCGTGGTCAACCTCACCACCACCTTCTTCGAGCCGACCATCGTGACAGACGGCTTCGTCGGCCATGCGCGCACCCTGGTGGCCCGTCGCTCCGAGGCGGTGGACACCAGTGTGGCCAAGTCGATCCAGCAGCAGCTGTTCACCACCAACTTCCAGTACGGTCTGGACCTGATCGCCATCAACATCCAGCGTGGTCGCGACCACGGCACGCCCACTTACGCCCAGGCGGCCGAGGCGTGCGGCGTGGTCCAGGTCCACTACTGGGGAGACCTGCACCGTGTCATGGAGTCCAAGACCATCGACAAGCTGCGCTCTGTGTACGACGACCCGCGTGACGTCGATCTCTTCGTCGGAGGAATCGCCGAGAAACTGGCGCCTGGCGCTCAGGTCGGTCCGACCTTCCAGTGCCTGATCGCGCAGCAGTTCTTCGACCTCCGCTACGGAGATCGGTTCTTCTACGACAACGGCGGCCTGCCGCACAGCTTCACCGAGGTACAGCTGGGCGAAATCCGGAAGACCAGCTGGGCGCGCATCCTCTGCGACACCCTCGGTGCCGACGTCGTCAACGGCTTCAGCAAGGTGCAGCCGCTGGCGTTCCTCACCACACTGGGTCGCAACCAAGTGCTCAGCTGTAACACGCTGGCGATCCCGCAAGGAGAACTTAGCGCGTTCTGAGCATCCATTTGATATTTAAGCATTGCTTAGAGTGTGTCGTTAAATTTGAACATACTGCCGTGGGTTTGTTGCCAAAGTATTTATATGAAGTCGATCTTCTCAATCACGAAGGACTGTGGCGAATGTTTTCGGAATGTGACACCACTCACTGTAAAAACGTCGAGGATGACGAAACACTGTGTTCACCGGTGCGATTAATAAAGCTATGACGTCACAATGTGACTGGCTGTGCCGTAACAGGTTTGTGAGTGAGCATATTGAGCACCCCGTTCCCAAGAACATCGAGAGACTTGCTCCCCGACGCCCGCAGTCGAGGGAAGCGCCCGACCAACCCAGAGAACGAGAATGACCCAGAGTAGCTGTTGTGTTCTACTCGCAGTTTGCATGTCTGTATATAAGATGTGTGGATATTTCGTTGTAATAATACATTGCCAATAAATGTTGCCGTTTATGATATGTTCCTAGTTGTTCAGTAGTTTCAGTACCTAATACGGAATCGTATTTCAATCAGGCTACATAAATTCGATTATGCCTAACTAAAAAGGAGTAAAAGAAGATATTGCTCACTTCCGTTTTTAGGAAACATATAAGCGCTAAATGCATTCACACATGAGCAGCAGCTACTCAGTTCGAGTAACGACACTGAAAAGTAGCAGAATTGTAATAAAAAGCTATCGCCAATAGGGCGGAGAAGATTATACCGAAGAAAAATGCCAAATAAATTTAGTTATACTATAGCGAACTCAACAGTATTTGCCTACCAGCAGTCTAATAGAAGGGAAAAGCCAAAAACACAACAATATTTCTAACCGACTACAACGTTGCAAAGCAAAGAAGCATGAAATAAATCGCAAAGATGGGTGAACGAAAGCAAGGTATAGATGTAGGTAGCTCTGCTTGTAAGCTTAGCTCTGAGTTTACCTAAATCTACAAGCTTTCCATTTTTTTTTCCAAAGACAAACGGGAAGTCACATTGCATTGACATGAAGTTATATAAGCTGCGTTTTAGACAGGATTGATATACCTCCAATTACTGAAAGTTAGCCTACCATCTAAAATTGGAACTTATATGAAAATGATGTGCTGCTTTGGTACTGCAGTCCTAGTAGCTCATCGCTCTCATGAGCTTTAATAACAAAATTGATGTTCGCTATTTTACCAGTAAAACGCCTTTTGGGCGACCAACGGAGCGAGCGAGAGGATGGGCCTTGCACGTGCGAAATTGCGAGGGGGTACCTCCAACTAACTTGTGTACTGCACCCTACTAGCCGGTCTTTAGCGATGTGCCAAATTTCAGCGCAATCGGCCTAGCCGGTCTCGAGATCTGGAGGCGGCACACTGCACGTGCGCACGTGCAAGCGGGGTCCAAACTGACTTTTGCACGGCACCCTACTAACTGGTCCCCAACCGTGTACCAAATTTGAGCGCAATCGGCCCAGCCGTTCTCGAGATCTGGGAGCGCCCCCTGCACGTGCGCACGTGCTGTAGCACCCCAACCTTAACACATGCAGATGAATTATCTGATGGAGACCTAACTGTGTACCGAGTTTCAATTCAATCGGCCCAACCGTTGTGCCGTTATTGAGGTTGCAATTTTGGGGGTTCTTAAAAAATGTCCAACTTTACCACGCGCCACGTGCGGTGGTTGGCAAGAACGCATGGTGGCCATCACACCACAGAACTTTTACGTCCAAGTGACATTCAGTAAAGAAGACCGCTTGTCAATCGGATGTCCCGTTCCTAAGATTTTAGCTTTTGAAGAGCGTCCCCACGGCCGGCCGGCCGGCCGGCCGGCCGCTCATACTCAGGATTTTCCCTTAATTCAGTATGAGACTCCGCTCGCTTCGCTCGCTCCGTAACCAATATCACGCAGTTACAGTAGAAATACGTCCTTTTTACAGATAAAATCACAAAAGATGCAGAAGACGCCAGAACTCTGCCAACTGGCAATCGTTTGATGAATCTGCGTCTCGCATATCTAGCTGCATATAATATATCCACCGTGCTTCTGAGATCATGAATATTTCGACACATCAGTGGGTACCTAAGCCGACGCGATGACATAATCTGATGATCAGCGATAGGTAGGTACTGATAACAAATCTTAACTTCGTCTTCTATCATTGCCCGAAAGGACACTGGCCAAACGGAACAGCGCCGTTCACATTCAGCGCTGCGGCGCTACTTTTCCTGCCGCGCGGCAGCCGCTCATTTTTCGGCGGATAGCGCTGTTCACTTGTCACGCGACGTACGGTTAGCAGCGCTTCTTGGTTAGGGAAAGGCGGCACGATATGCCAGCTTCGGGCAAGGTGAATGGTACACGATGGCACCAAATTGACACCGTTCTGGGATTAGGTCGTTAAAGGAAGACTGCCACCTTCAAAAAGTTTTCTCAGATCGGCCTATGATTTATTCCCTGGACAAAACAAAATTTTAGAATTCACCTGACAAAGTATCATCACGTGAATCGCGAAAAAAATTGTCGATTAACATACAATTATCAATCGGTTAATGTCTAGCGACAATGTTTACACATCACTAGAATTCAAGGTCATAAAATTATTACATTTTATTTGAAAAAGTAAGGTATTTTATGATTTACTAATACATGATTCCATAAGAAATTGGCCATGTTTAATTTATTTTGCATTTAAGTTCGTAAAACATTTATAAAATCATGGCTCATTTGGAATGGGTCTGGCCCATGTTAAACCCCATTTCCCACACTTTTTTGGAAAAAATGAACTACTGAATATATAAGTTTAACTTTTATTTTGACACTCCAAAATTCTTCTCTGATCTCGAAACAAAAGTTTTGACATATATTTACCAAAAGATAAGAAAATTCATGTTTCAAAGTTATCGATAAACAGTAGAGATGTCGGTTTTCTTGGACTAAAAAAATGGCATCAAACTGAACTTTGGTCTCCGATTTCTCGCAAACGGGTTCGAATTTCGGAAAACCGACTTCAGTCTGGGACATAGGTGGCTCAGCTCTAGTGAAAACCGTTTTGTGAAAAAAAGGTGGCAGTCTACCTTTAAAAAACCGGGTGAGCCAAGTGCATACGCAAATTTAACTGCCGCGATGGTCGCTGTCAACCACTGAACTTAGTTTGCCGTCTTACATCGGCACAGGTGTGGCGATGCCAGCGTTGCGAAGGTTATGCATCAACCAACAAAACCTGCATCATGCCTATGCATATGACCTAAGCAATTATCATCGGTAGTGATGCATCATAATTCAGCTACAAGTATAGCTTATCATCTAATTTTGTGACTTTAGCCACCAAAGGTGATGACTATGAACAGACGACTCATCACTCGAGCACCGAGACGGACTCGCGATAGCCATTTATCTACAATGACTAATGAGTCGATGAGTGAGCAAACTCTGACTCACTGGTGACGATCGAGCCGGTGAGTTGGACGTGACTCCGACTCATCCAACTCACTGGTGTGTGTTGCAGAACGGCGAACCGAATCTCACTTACCTTTGGATGGTCGACAGTTGGGTTTAGGCTGTAGCACTGGCCCGAGGACGGCGTCGAATGTCGGTATCAAGAAGAGCATCTCCGTCGTCTTCATATTTACTTCAGCAAAAGCTAGAACGATCGCAGGAATATGATAGGTTTGATCACATAATGGGGAGAACGAGGGAGAGAGAGAGAGAGGGAGAGAGAGAGAGAGGGAGAGAGAGAGAGAGAGAGAGAGAGAGAGAGAGAGAGAGAGAGAGAGAGAGAGAGAGAAAGAGAGAGAGAGGGAGAGAGAGACAGAGAAAGAGAGAGAGGGAGAGAGTGAGGGAGAGAGAGAGGGAGAGAGAGGGAGAGGGAGGGAGAGGAGAGAGAGAGGAGAGAGGAGAGAGAGAGAGAGAGAGAGAGAGAGAGAGAGAGAGAGAGAGAGAGAGAGAGAGAGAGAGAGAGAGAGAGAGAGAGAGAGAGAGAGAGAGAGAGAGAGAGAGAGAGAGAGAGAGAGAGAGAGAGAGAGAGAGAGAGAGAGAGAGAGAGAATAATGTTATGTTCAGTGAGGGTTGGAGCTAGAAGGAGTAAAGGAGGGGGAATGGTGCTTATCAACAGCTCTATCGGATTCCAAAACATTCCTTATGTCAATCCGCATATGGTGTCGTCATAGGTACTCGTTTTAAATAATGACTTCAGCAATCAATGGGCCTGGTCGGCGATTCTCGGAAGTAAAAAACAAATAATACAATTTTCATGCTTCACACCCTCCGACGTCAAACGTCCTCCTTTGAGTCCTTACCCCCGATCCCAAATAACCAGCTTCAACGTCAGTTTTCGGTTTTAATTGGTAGCTGCGGTACCTATGATATCGGACATCGAATCGGTACCAGCTCGACATAAAGCCTCGTGAGAACAAAGCACATCCACCAAAAACAGAACACAAAATTACGGCCAATAAATCTAAGGTGTCTGCAGATCAATACAAAAAAGCGAGCGCCAGCAACTATGCCGCCTTTTTAGGAAAACTATAGCTGTCGTTCTGAATGTGCTCAAAGAAAACTAGACCTTGAGGCCGGGCGCAGTTTGGTGGCGGCAAGGTCGCGTGAGAATCTGATAGGTTCAAACTCAGGCTCAGACCAGATTGAAAGAAAGGTAGCTACGTGAAGGTCATTGGTAGACTGAGATGCCTATGCAGATAAAAGTAACACAAATGCAAAAATAGTAGTGATCAGACAGATGATGCCGCTGCATGCCACGTTGAAAGTGTACCCACAATCTGGGAATTCCCAGCGGCTGCAAACGCCGTGCATAGCCATACCTATATTTGCCCGAAGCAGTGCACCCAAAAATGGTTCGGTATCATCAACAAATGAGAGCGAGCATGCTTTTGCCTTTACTCAGCAATTCAAAGTAAAGCCTGACTTTCAATGAAAAAGTAAGCGTCGGTCTGCTCACACTAGATTAGTTTTAAGCAGGGATGCGGAGCCGGAGCCGGAGTCGGAGCCGGAGCCGCCGGAGCCGGCATATTTTGCCCGGAGCCGGAGCCGGAGCCGGAGCCGTGAAATGATATAGCCCGGAGCCGGAGCCGGAGCCGGAGCCGCCAAAAAGGGGGCGACTCCGGCTCCTTTTTATTTTTGAAGAGGAAAAAAAATAATTGGCTTAGTTCGCTTTGACAGTACAAGGCAGTAAAACATATGGTAAGTACGTCATGGGCCATCAAGTGAATGAAAAAAGCCGAATATCCCCAGTATCCCACAGTACGCGATCAACTTCCTGTCTGCTCCTCCCCCTCCCCCCCCCCCCCCCACGTCTACTGCATCCCCAGAACATGAGGACCGGTCATCAGGTGACGGCCATTGTTTTGAAGCCAGTGCAGTGGACTGCGACTCCCAGCACCGTCTCTTCCCCCCCCCCCTCCCCCCCAATGCAGCCGAGACGGGTGTCAGCTTACGATGGTTCAGTGAACTCTGATTCGCGGCGACTGCGTTTCCAATGC